CCACAAAATAAAAACATTTTGTGGAGACGGTAGTAAAATATTTTTTTATTTCGTGTAAAAAATAATTTAAATTGATATTTTTTTACATCTAAATTAAATGTTAAAGAATAAATTAAATTTAAGCGTAACATGCAGTTTTATAGCTACTTTCTGAAAGTATATATCTTTGACTGTACACGAATTAGATAGCATGAAAATAAAATAAAAAATCAAATAATATCTTATTCTAAATGTGAATACACAGGTGGTTTGTAATTATCGTTCTTAATATATATTTCATCTTTTTGTTAGAAATATTATACAAGGGCCCTGGCTTAATATTTAAGCAAGAGAAGAACGAAAACATTATCGAAATTTGACGAATCGCATTTGCGAGAGACGGGTTAAAAAATAAAATTGATCAGAGGAGAAAACTAATAGTAGTTGAAAGTTATTAAAACAGATATATCTTTGTAATCTTTTTCTCTAACTTGTGCTTTCTGTAGAGAAAGACTGTGCAACGATATTGAACCCGCAACCTCGACGTGTCAGAAAGTTTAGTGGAAAATATCCTACAGTATCAGAGACTTCAGTTGTTCACTATCTAGCCAAAAGTAACCGGACATCCAGTGGTATGGACTTAGTGCATCCCGTGGCACATATTAATATGATGTTGGTCCCCCTTTTGTATCTCGATGACAGTCTGCACACTTCTTGAATCACTTTCGACCAGGTTTTGATAAATGGGCATAGGAATTGACTTCCAGGCTTCCATAACAGCTGAAATGAGTGAAGACGGTCGATTTGGCTGGCTCTAATTCATTCCAAAAGTGTTCTATGGGATTTAAATCGGGGCTCTCAGAAGGCCAGTACAGTTTTTGAACACCCATTTTGTTAAATCCACCACGTCTGTGCAAGCCTGGATGTGTGAACAGAGCATGCTGGATGAGGAATGGGCCTTTCCCGAAATATTGCCTTAGAGTGCAGCATTGTCCACATACATCTCAGATTTCATGTTTCTAACCACAGGAACTAATGGACGCAGAACAAACCTCGAGAAACATCCCAGCTATTATGCTTCCCCCACCATTACAACCGGGTTATCTAGATATTTTTGCCAAGTAATGTATATGGTTGTTTACTTGCAATAAATGCTTGAGACTTTTATGTATTGCGAACCGCTCTGAAACGTGGCTGTAATGGTATCAAATCCCCCTTGGACATTGGATGTGTATTCTTGCTTGCCTTTCTCAAACTTGTGCTATCTGTTTTTAAAATAGAAAAGAATTGTTAAGCTATTATTAGTATTTAAAGAGAAACCCACATCTAAAAATTAAAGGAAAATCACACTACCTTCGTAAAAGATGCATACAACAAATACCACAACTTGATCTATATGAGTAGATAATTTTTTTTCTGTTTTGTAAATATATTAAGTGGGTCGATATTTTATTTATGTCATCACTAGAGCTGACTAATGGGCATTTTCCAACCGTCTGGATGATCCGAAGACTTGCCATCACAATTTTCCTAATATGCAGAGAGGATGGGTTCCTCTATGTGGTAGCTCAGCAGCCTGCACACGAAGTCCAGCACTTCACAATAGAAAAGTTTCGCTAAGAACAGTGATAGCCTGGTTGGTAAGGCATTGGGCCCATTTCCAAGTGATCGTGATTTCGACCCCTAACAGCCGAAGACACTCCATGCATCAAATGGTAACTGGTGCATGGTAAATCAGTTGGGTTACAAAGTCCTCTATGTTCCTATAGTAAATCATACGACTGCGGGTACTGAATTGAAGATTGATCGTTCTCTGGTTCAGGTCAAAATTACGATCTGTTGATGAATGAATGGAGATGTGAGAATGGATCCACTAATTTATTTTTAACCAGTAACGTCATAATCATTCAAGTACGGTAATTTTAACAGAATATTTTTTTCTGTGTGAAAATATATATTCAGAGTAGTGATTACAGAAAATCTTTTGCATACCTTGTCTATTAAAAAGTATGCATGTTTTATCTAAAAGTATATCTCGTTACGCATAAACTTTCTAAAACTGGTTTGTTTCTTTTATATAGAAAAGTTTGATTATTTACTAGAATGAATGATGTTGACCGGCCGACCCTTTTGCAAGGATATGTAAGTGAGGTTCATTATGTTTTAATATTTTATATAAAATAACAGAAACTCTTTAATGCTTTTAGCTGAAATTATTTTTATGTATCACACATTTTTTTTTGTTGTTGTTATACGTTGAATGATGTGTATTACCATTTGCATTGTTGTTGTCATTAAATGTTGTGCTTTCTCTTTTCCTACATTAAGTTTCGTCTAAGTAAATGTTCAAATAACACTATTCTGTCCAAATTTGAATTGTGCTTGTTATCAAAATATTTCGCATGAATTATTTTTTTGCATTAAATTATGTTCGATGAGCAAAGAAATTTGCGTACTCCACAAAATAAATATATTTTGCTCATCTTTTTATTCTACCTTGAGTTTTCAATGACCTACATATTTTTTGTTGATCATATTGTGGATTATTGTTTCACACATTACGTTTTATCGAAATTAAATATTCTTTGTACACTATTTTGATCAAATTTGAATTGTGTGTAAAACAGAAATATTTTTTGCATTAAGTTTTGTTTGATGAGAGAAGAAATTTGTGTACCACAGAAATTAAATATATTTCGTGTATCATTTTATTTAATACTGAAATTTCAATAATCTACATAGCTTTTGTTGCCCATGTTATGCATTATTTTTTTCTACATTACATTTTATGTAAAAAATCAAATATTCCTCGTAGACTATTTTGTCTAAATTTGAACTGTGTATATTATAAAAATATTTTTGATAACTTATTTTCCTTGCATTAAATTCTGTTTGATAATCAAATCAATTTGTTAACCCACAAAATAAAAACATTTTGTGCATCATTTTAAACTACATTGAATTTTTAATGACCTTTTGCAGCCCACTTTTTTATGTTTAGTTTTATCCCATATTAAGGTTTTTTTCTTTTTATATCTGTAAATTGTGCGTAGATTACAACCATTAACAATTTAAACGCTAATTTAAAAATATATACAAATATTATGATTGCAAAGCAATTTTTTCATAAGTCGAAGCTCTGTAAACGTTATTTAGTTTTTTTTTTATTTTCTCAGAGGATTTAAAGTAACCTTCTTATTTACCTGCTACTTAGTGCAAAAAATTCTTGGTTATTTTTAGGAAGATTTTTATTTACTTCTAAAAACCTTAGATCAGCACATGTTCAAAATAAAGTTTCAGATTGATATTTCAAATTTTTTTCTGAAAATTAGTTACCTAAATTTGTGCAAATATCTTGGTACTAAATCTTTACATTGCACTACTTAAACACTTGTATAAAATATGTTTGAATGAAAAATTCAAGACCAGAGGTTTCACAAGGAAGAAGTTTCGGAAAATGTCATTCAAAAGTGTCATATAAATTTTCACCCAGAACGACGCTATAAAGTAAATGAAACTGCATAATTATGAAAGAAATAACTGACCTTAAGTATTATAAACGTGTAAGATTTTAATTCAATTTCTTATGTAGATGAGCATGTTGGTCATTATTTTCCTCCATGAAAGTAAGTAAGAAATCGAAGCAATGTTCAAGGTGTACAGGTTAACATGAGACATTGAGAAGGCTTATCCAAAACGGAGTCCTTAGTCCTGACGCAAGCAAAACTAGAGTCCAGTTTTCAAGGTCCCTACCATAACAGCGATTGCTCTTCTTTTAGTTCTCCAGATTAAATTGTTAAGTTTATTGACCAACTCACTTTCGGAGGATGAAGATGAAAAAGATCTTCACGATATCGCTGGCTTTTTTGTGTTTCTCTGTATGGGGATTTGGATTCTCGTATGGAGCTGGAGTTGAAAACAGAAAGAATGATTGGGTTAAGGAAAATTCTGTAGAAACTTTTGCTCAAACAGAAAAGAGGTTTAAGAAACTTGTAAATACAGGTGTTAAAATGGCGTTACCTTATTTGATTGATACAGCAACTGAAATAAGAATAAACAGTAAATGCATGCAAGGACTGTTGATGCTGATGAAAGGTGTGATGGACATTAAAGATTGGGCAGTTAAAAGTAAGAAACATTTACTTACATGCTCTTATATGGAAATTATTGAAATTTTTACCCAAAATATCTAACCCTGAAGTACATTTTTTCAGTCAAATAAGACTTTTAGATATAATGTTACATACATGATACATTTTTACAAATATGTTCCCTAAAATACAAATAAATTTGAATTAGATGACTGAATACTGTTTTTAAATTTAAATTTTAAATTAGATAACTGAATACTGCTTTTAAATCACTGTTTTTAAAATTAAAATTAAATATTTTAGCATTTAATGATATGTTATGCGTGTGTGGTTATGATTACATGCCAAAGTGCCATGCTTTTAATTAAAAAATTTGTATGAGACATGAAATTTTTTAACGCCCAGAAATAGTTACAGCTCTAATTTCCATAAATGTAGTATTACAAAAGGAAATTTTTGTGCATCATTTTGTTATTTATTTAACATGAAAAAATACTCATCTCTGATCACGCCAAGTTTCATGATTTGTAGTGTTTGCAATTAAACGTTTCCTTTGTAGATTTTAAAACATAAGACAATATTTTATTATAAAATACGCGAAAACATTCAAGCTAGAAATTAAAATAAAAATAAAAAATACAAAAATTATCATTTCTCATAAAATAATTAAAGAAATTATCAGGAGATTAAAATTCTTCATTCTTTTTTCTTCAAAATTGTTTTTGTTTAATTTTTTTTCTTAATCTTATGTTTTTAATCTTAGATGCGTAATTTAAAACTTAGCGTGATTGATGTAAATTTGAGGATTTATAATTCAGAAAATATTTAATATATTTTTGTTCAAAAAATAATTTTAAAATATTAATTATCAAAACCTATTATAATACTATAACCATTTAATATCGAGAGTGTATTTATTCAAGATTTAATATGTAACTGCTTTTTCTTACTAACATATTTGTTCAAGATTTAATGTTCAATTATTTTTCATTAGGAAAATACTAATTCAGGAATTCTTTTTATTCTATTTATTATCAATATATTTATAAAAATTAATTTTTAATTATAATCTATATCAAGACTAATCTTTACCAAATACAATGTACTATAAACTACTATAACCAAAATAGAATACAATGGGCTACTCATAGTATTAAAATAATATTGTATTAAAATTACAGACCCACATAGATGTATTTTATGTTTACTTACCTTCAGAGTTTTTGATATATAGAATCCTATGAATAAACTTAAGGAATTAAATTCAGTTTTTCAAGGTCTGATTTATAGCAATCAAGTCAAAGGTATGTGTCATCGCTTTTTCAGCAGCTTTCGAGGTGAACAAGCAAAACAAAGAAGATAAAAGAAAAATACCAATTTTGAAAACCAACAAAGGGCAACATGTATACATTAACCTTTTTTCATTTGTTTGGAACGTTTGACGTATTTTTAAAGCTTCATTGGTTACAGAAATCAGTTTTTCATCAAACCCGTAAATAATAAAAACCCGTAAAACATCTTTTCAACAACTTGCAAGAAATAAAATCAAACACTTTCACAAATTTATGGTCACAAATTATTTTTTTAATGAGAAAAATTTACACTTAAAGAATAATTACAAATGTCAAAGAGTCTGAGAAAGTAAAAATCTTTAAAAATAAGTTTACTTGTAGGATGAACAGAAAAATATTTCTAAAATTAGGAAGTATAAAAAAGTAGTATACTTAGTAAATTGTAAACTAGAACAAAAACGATAAAAGAAAAGGACGAAAAAAAACAACGTAAAGCACAAATTAAAGTACAGGATTGGATATACTATAGTTTAATGGCAATAAATTTACAACACATATTCGGCATTAAACAAATTTCCAGATCTAAGTTATGAATACAGTGCAATAAAAATTATTTTAAACTTTTATGCGGAAGAAATCGCAGCTAATTTTTCAAAATAATATAGCTTTTGAAATTAAAATTTCTGAAACAAAATATTTTATAAAATCGGAAGAAAAGTGCGCATTTTAAAGTAATAATTTTCGTATTAAATTTTAAAGTGTAATTATAGCATTGAGATAAGGAAAAAATATTAAATTGTAAGAATTGAATTATATTTTGTCTATCAAATTTTTTTTATTAGTGCTTTATTCGCTAGTTTTTGATATTCTAACAAAATATGTTCAAGATATGAAATGTGTAATACATATTAATAATATATTTGAAATATGAGCAATTTTTAATATGTTACTGGTTTATTGGAATCACATGAGGAAAAAACTATGCTTTTTTATTAATTCTAAAATATTTCGCATAAATTATTAACATTTTATGCTTGTAAATATTGTAAAATCATATTAAACCTATAAAGTCCTTAAAAATGAGTGAAACACTATTTGCGAAGTTATTTTTAAACTGTCACTACATAGTTTCGGTTAAAATAATTAAAATTATTATTGAAATTTACACAGTTTTGTAGATATTTGGCAAAAGGGGCAATTCAGCTGGAAATCCAAAACAATGCTTTACATAAAATATTTACTCATAACATAAAATAATTTCAGTGACAAATGATCTGAATGAAATATATAAAATATGAGATTAATGAAATGAATATAATGTTAATAATGGATAGCAGCTGCTTGAAATTTATGTTTTTCTAATCAAAGAAAATAAATTACTGCTTGCTACATTAAATTACCACTTGTATTACATACTACTTGTATTACTTCTGAAATCTTTTTTCAACATGTATTACCAATCAATTTTAAAAATAGTAAGTAATGCTTATACATTGTATATGATGATAGATTTCCTACTTTACCGTTATCTTGTACACATTTTTACTATATATGAGCTTATTCTAAACATATCGTAAAAAAATTGGACAGATCTGTAGATATAATTAAGAAAATATGCACTGAGCAAAAATGTTTGGACAAAACTACTAGAATATGGCAAAATTCATTATGTTCCGACTCTATGAGAGCACCACAAATCGTAGGAATTTTTATCGAAGCGATTTGGTAATGATTTCAGGAAAATTAATAATAAAATATAATTTTATAATGCGAGATAAATTTCGTAAACTTTGAAAACCAGAGTTATCTTAAAACCGTTACCATACGAATGGAAAAATTACCGAATTAATCATTCAAATATTGCATATTTTGATTTATTAATCAGAATCGAGGTATTTTTATTAGAAATGTCCTTATCATACAATTTGGCAGTGTTACCAAAATTGTTTTCCTCGTGTTGCTTATATTGAAAATGAGGTATAATCCACAGTATAAATTAGATGAATTATATGCTGAGAAAAAATATATATGATTTCAGGACATTTAAATTTATTAAACTCTTGTACTAAAACTTTTTGTTACCAAATGTTAATTATAGTAAAAAAAAAATTGAAAACTAATTTTTAAAACTTAAATTTATGTTACTATCCCGTAAATGAAAATAGTATAAACTAGATATACTAACGTAATTAAATCGTATGTTTAGAGTACTCACATTTAATAATTAGCTCAGTTAAGTTTCAATTCTCATGTCTCAAGCAAAGACTAATTCCTCTAGGCTAATAATAAAGTTAAATAAAACTGATTAACAAAACTAGAGGTATTATTCAAATGGAATGATAAAAAGAAAAAGAATTAATTACCAAAAACAACCTGTTTAAAATTTAACAGAGAAAACTTTCATTCTTAGAGCAAAGAAAAATATATCATGCTACGTTTTCATTTTCAATAAATTAAAAGAATTTGTAAATTTCTTAATCATTAATAATTCTATATCTTGCAATGCCAATTATGGAGTGATATTTATAAATGTACACATTATTCATTTTGAACTTGTCTTTGAAATCGAATAGAATCAACATTTTTAATTTACTTTTTCTAAAAAAAACGGTCAAGGTTCTAAAATATTTATTTTTATATTTTAACGAACATGAAGAAATTGAATCTTTCATTTTGTGCAAGGTAAGAGAATCACCATTATTGTCGGTGTCGGTTAATAACGTAAAAAAAATCGAAAAGGTTGAAAAGGAAACTTACAACAGAACGTCTATAACCTTCTTCATACGTGATCTGCACTTAGATACAGCATTATTTTGACAATCAATTAAATATAGTTTTCCCAACGACAAGTTAGCACAACTGCTGTTCCAGAAGTTCCTTCTAAGTAGTAAATACAAAAAAAAAAAAAAAGCAATTTCAAGAATGAAATAAGAAAAAAGAAAGAATAAGAGAAAACGAAACACAAAACCTGAATTGTTCCGCAAAATCGGGAGCATAATGACAGTATCAACAAACCGCAGATCATTATCATCGTTTCCCTCAATTTTACTATGTTTTATTCTTTATATGTGATATTATATATTATATTATGCCTTTCCGCTTGCCTTTTCGGACAAACATATAAACATAGCATGTTTATTCTTTGAAACTTTTTTATAGCATTAAAACACAGAGAGTGATCTAAAAAACAATTAGTACCCGGAAGATAAGAATCAGTATAAATACGTATATATATACACAGAGAAAGAAAGAGAGAGATACATAAATAAATGTAGTTAGAGAAAAGTTTTTCTTTTTTTTTTTTTTTTTTTTTTTTTTTTTTTTTTTTTTTTNTTTTTTTTTTTTTTTTTTTTTTTTTTTTTTGATCGTGCGTCAAAACAAAAGCGAGAAATTTTGCACTCTCAAAATCTTTACTGACATAATTTTAAAATATGGCAACTTTTCAGTACGTAAAACATATTTTATTTATAGATTTAGTTCAGTATACTCGTATAGTAAGCAAAAAATAGATATAATTCAAAATAACTTTTGCTCTTACTATCAAATTATCACGCATTGAAAACCAAATCTGAATGCCTCACAGGGTTGGCTTAAAATATGCTAAATAATTAACATTTACCATAAATTAACGTATGAAATCAGACGCAAAAACACAAATTTCCTTAATTTATTAAACATACTTTTTTCACGAGGGACATTGATTTTTTGCCTGTCAAAATATGGAGGCTATGCCAGAATCACGTGATCGAATTGTTGCTAACCTTCATTTTACGAAGTAAATACTTTTAAAAACAATTATAAAATTCGCTTATCCAAAAATAATTCAATGTAAAGAACAGAAAAAGAAGAATAAAACGAAGAAAAATTATAGACATATGAAGAAGAAAAAGGGGGGGGGAATAATAAGTAAAAAAATAAACAACAGTTAAAAAAAAAAAAGGGAGGAAATTTTATTTAAAAAACTGGAAGGAAAAAAACCGGAAAAAAAGGATATAATCTTTTTATCCGGTTTTTTTTCCAGTTTTTTAAATAAAATTTCATCCTTTTTTTTTAAACTGTTGTTTGTTATTTTTTTACTTATTATTTGCCCCCCCCCCCCTTTTTCTTATATGTCTATAATTTTTCTCTGTATTATTCTTCATTTTGAACTTATCTAATGAGTTCTGTTTACTTGCTGCTTAAGCGCAATAAATGAAACTTATTGTTTTCTTAACTTTCTTCGTGTTTTCTTGTATTTATTTATTATTATATATATATGCATGTATTTGATTTGATTAAAAGTAAAATTCTTTGAATCATTGAATATGGAACTATTACAAACAAAAGTTATAGTGCTTTTTTTATTTCCTTTTTAGTGGTGGATGCCATTGGAAAACCTTCTGCTGGGATTCTAGAAGGAACAGCCACTGCGTTGGGAGATTATGATGAATGCCTTAGTATAACAGTACCGAGAAGGATGCGTCCAATTCCAGTTCCTCCATACAAACCGCATCAAATCGCTTTTCATGGAAAATACTGCGTCGTTCAAATCCATTTGCCAGATGCAATACGAAAAGCAGCCATGGCTTACCAAGCAGGAAACAGATCACATTCTGAATTGGCAAATTCAAAGACGGTAATTACATTTTCTTCATTACATAAAAAAGGATATAACATAAAATGATAGTGAAACAAAAACTTCAGCCATAGGTCAATGCTTGATAACTAAATCTCAACTGAAATTATTTAAAGACTCCATAACTTACTTTATATCTCAAAATCAAAAATAAATCCTACCGTTTGCGCCTCCGTTTTAGAAAATATTCACCTCACGTGTTTCCCAACCTCCTAATAAAAAATGTATAAAACTTGCACATTTTAAAGAAATGTTTAAAAAACTTTCTGATACGAAAATGTTACTAATACGAGTATTTGTTTTTTTAATTTTTTTATAGTGTTGAATTATTTTTGTGCGTTGCGTTTTTTAATTTAGCAAAAATTATTATTAGGAAAATTTTTATGCTTTATCAACCACTTACTGTAATGTCTGAAGAGGAGGAACACGTCTCACTTTGCTTAAATTTCAAATTTGTTTAGGAATATTTAAATAACAATTCAAGGGTTTCGATTTGAAGGAAATTTAAATGCAGTAAAATACTATGCTTATAATTTTTTTGCATCGATATTTTTTAGGCCTGAAGATAGAAAAGTCATAAACATTTTTTAATTTCAAATTAATTTTAAAATTATTAAAATTCAAAGTTTGTCCTTAGTATAAAGTTATTTTAATTCATTTCAAAAGTTAAAACCATCTCCTATTTTGCTGATTTACTTTGAAGATAAAGGAAACCAAACCATAAATTAGTTGAAAAAAATATATATTTTCTTTTTAATAATGGGCTCGATGTTAAAATTTAGGGAAAAAATAAAAATAAATTTTTATAATTCCCATATTCTTTTTTTCCCCGTAGATTAGGCAATAATATTCTTCGTTAGCTAAAATGCAAATTTCTTCCTTTGATTAGAAGATGCAGTTCAACTGTTTAAAATATAAAGTTTAAACCATAATAATGAGTAATAGAGGGTAAATTTTTATGACCTTCTGTAAGGAACTGCATAAGCTCTTCCTGGGGTATTTAAGAGAAATTAAACATGACAGAGACATGACATTAAGAGACATTAAACAACCCCTTCGTAATACATAAAAACAATATTACTTTGAAATCATATTTTCTTTTATGACCGGCGTTGAATAGAAGACCCACTTTTGGATTTTCGACTACCACTGTTCAAATCCATAGCCTTGTAATTCTGAACCCAATCCAGAAGACAAAAGAACTCCTGGATCAAGTATTGGGAAAAATTGGCCTTCGCGGAAGATTTTTTGATGAAACTAACCAGCATTTGCTTTACAAGTAGTGGAAAGCCACGAAAACCTACTGTTATCCTGACAGCAAGAGGATTCTAACCCATGATCCGTCTACCCCTGAAGATATTTTACGTCAGCACTGAGGTTGGTGTGATTCGTATATGGAATTCAAATCGACCAGCTATAGCTGGGATTCAAACCCGATTCACCTCATTGGAAGGCGAGCACTCTTTCCCCAGAGTCGCCATGACTCCTTGAAATTATATTCAAATTCAATTTCCTAAATTAATGAATTAATAAATTTTCTTCAAAATTTTTAAGTGAACCATAGTGGTTCAGGGGATAGAGCGCTCACCTCCCAATAAGGTAACTCCGGTTCGAATCCTAGCGATGGCTGGTCGATACGAATTCCACACCTAGCTCACGCTGACCACAATGCTAACGTAAAATATCCTCAGTAGAAAACGGATCCATGTGTTAGAAAACTTTTGTCGTCAGACTAACCATAGGAGGTTTGCATGGTTCTCCTCTGCATGCAACGTAAAAGCGTGTAGCTCCATCAAAAAGTCCTCCATGAAGGCAAATTTCACCTTCTTCTTTGTGCTGGAGTTCCCTTGTCTCCTGGATTAGGCTCAAAATCACAGAGCTACAGAGTTGAACATTGATAGTCTTTAAGAGATAGAATTGGGTCAGCTTTTCGACACCGGTTACAGAAAAAAAGAAGATAATATTTTAGCACATTAGTGAAGTACGCGAAATAACTATTTCTTCATTTATTTAGTTTAAATTTTATACGTATCAAGTTAAAAATATAATTTAATTGCAATTTTATTTTCGAAAATTAAATTAATTTTCTCAACTTATCTCCTAAAACTGGTATTGAAACTAAATTAAATACATTTTTTTAACGATTGAAATACGTATTAAATAATTTTAGCCAAACGTAGTTGGTTTTTTTTGTTTAAAGTTGAGCGAAGTTTTAAAAAATTCTGCATTTGAACTAATGTCCCTTAGGAAAATTTGCCATAGGTTTGCCATAAAAAATGCCATAGGATATTCCTATGGGGTTTTGCCTATGGCAAAAATTTTGCCATATACGTATGGCAGAATTTTGCCATACATGTATGGCAAATTTTTGCCATAGGCAAAACCCCATAGGAATATTCTATGGCATTTTTTTGTATGGCAAAATTTTGCCATAGGCAAAACCCCATAGGAATATCCTATGGCATTTTTTTGTATGGCAAAGTTTTGCCATAAGTGTATGGCAAAAGTGTATGGCAAAATTTTGCCATAGGCAAAACCCCATAGGAATATCCTATGGCATTTTTTTGTATGGCAAAGTTTTGCCATAAGTGTATGGCAAAAGTGTATGGCAAAATTTTGCCATAGGCAAAACCCCATAGGAATATCCTATGGCATTTTTTTGTATGGCAAAGTTTTGCCATAAGTGTATGGCAAAAGTGTATGGCAAAATTTTGCCATAGGCAAAACCCCATAGGAATATCCTATGGCATTTTTTTATATGGCAAATTTTTGCCATAAAACTAAGATGTGCTACAGTTTATGAAGAAATATTTTTCCATAGGTTATGGTATACCTTTGCCATACAGCTATGGCAACATTTCTCGTTGATATTTTACCATACGTCAAAAAATAATTACTTACAAGAATCTTTCGCAATGGATATTAAAAATGCAAAACTTAATAATTGTAGAATAAATATATATCCAGAAAGCTTTTTTTTAAATTTCTTTGATAAACTTCTCCTGTTTTACTTGCAGAATCCTTTTTGTATGCGGTTCTTATTCAAATAAATTTCAAACAGTTAGTACTAACCGCTAGAAAATGGGTCCGGTGGACGGAGCGAGTGGGGAAAATATTGGTTATGTTGATTAGGAACAAAATATATTGAGTACAGGCAACTAATATTTGTTAAAGCTGTAAAAACAAGAAAATAGAAAGTGGGTCCGGAGGTCGGAGCGAGTATAAAAAACGTTAATTTGATTGATTGGTATCATAATTAGTTAGATAAGCCTCAGATATTAGAGGAACCTAAAAGAACGCGAAGCAAAATAACGGTCCGATGGTCGGAGCGAGTATGAAAATTCTTTAAATTTTGATATGTGATACTAAACTAAAAATTAAACAGACTACTAAAACAATAAAATACTATTAAAACTCAAAAGATAAAGAGTGGGGCCGGTGGTCGAAGCGAAATTAGTTTAAAATAGATCAAACGGGACAAAAGCTGAATATGTAACGGTGCAACCAGTGGTGGCATGTGAACAAAATTTTATCTATAAAAAAGATGGTATTAGACTATGAAAAGCTAAGAATAGAAAACAGGCTAAATTAGTTGATCCCCTACTAGTGAGGGATAAAAAAACTCAGAAAATTTATGTTGAGTTGTGATAAGCACATTTAGAAAAGAGAACACAATATAGAAACATTGGTAAATACAAAACATGTTTAAGACATGATTAAAATTGGTAAAATTAATAATTGTTATTGACAAATTTACACTTGGTCAGGGATAGTAAATAAAAATTAATTGGGTATAGGGAATCACTATGACGAAAAAGTTGTAAACTTAAGGAAAGATTAAATTGTTAAAAGCATTTTTGGTTACAGCAGCAGATGATATGGCCAGGGACTGTCCAGTTGATGATATTGAAGCAAAACAATTGTCAACCAGTAATCCAGCAAATCTAGTTAAGTGATGACCCTAAGCTATGTATAAACATGTAACAGAACATTGTACAAATATATGTGGATACTTAAGAAATATTAGTTGTAAAATAGTAAAACACAGAGACATGATAAAAAACAATTTAATGGCAAGCAAAAATTAAACACAAAATATAAATATAAAGCCCTAACATATGTAAGATAATGTAAAAAAGCATTGCAAGAACCTAAGTGGAATTAAAATAAAAAACTAATGAGAATGTAAACACTGATAAAAGTACCAGACAGCCGGAAATTAAAAAACTTAATAAATTCAGATAGATAATCGCATAGGCGTTTGCAATAAATTGTTTTTGACCAAGAATGAGATCGAAAAAATATTAAAATAAGTAGCCAAAGTTTGCGAAAGATTCCACTTGTAGTGGATGACACGTTAATATGGCGGTCTGATACTCTAAGCCTAAATCAATGGAACATCGGATTTTAAACACTCAAAAATGGAAAAATTGGCCACCCGGAGGCCGGAAAAGACTCACCAGGAATGCCTTGTGGGTTTACATGTTGAATTTAATTAACTTCGGGGTGAAATAATGGATATTTATTTCTTTTAGAAGATGTTTTTGAGGACTCCATAGAAGTTGTTGTTTCGTTGGTGGAGATCTAGATCAGCTTTTCTCTATGGTATACTGCCATACAAATCTTTAAGGTTACCATTGGCCTATGGTATACTGCCATACGAATTTCTGTGGTTGCCATAGGCCAATGGTGACGTGCCATACAAATCCTTATGGTTACCATTGGTCTATGGTATACTGCCATACAAATCTTTATGGTAGCCATAGGCTTTTGGGGTTTTGCCATACAAATCTCTATGGTAACCATAGGCGTATGGTATCTTGCCATATAAATTTCTATGGTAGCCATAGGCTTATGGGGTTGTGCCATACAAATCTCTATGGTAACCATAGGCGTATGGCATCTTGCCATACAAATTTCTATGGTAGCCATAGGTTGCCATAGATTACCATAGGCTTCTCTATGGCAAATTTTCCTAAGGGGTCGTCAGCAAACTAATA